TAAAATATGTGAGCGAACGAGCTTAATTTGAACAAATGAGTTTAAATCGAGCCGAACGCAAACAAATAATTCACGAGCCATTTCGAACAAGGACCGAACACGAACAAAACATAATTTAAACAAGCTAAACACAAAAGAGCATTGGGCTCACCTCAAGCTCGGCTCGTTTACACCCCTACTAGACACGTGGTCTAGGCGTCACGTCTTGATGTTCAACGAACTGAATTTCTTCAAATTTGTTTTCAATTGCCAAAAAATATGATAACCTCCCATATGCACATAACTTAGTTAGCATGATAATAATGTTTACTACCAGCAACATAATTTTCTACCCATAAAAATCCTCTTCATAACTGGAGCCTTAGCATCAATAATAAGAATTTCTAACCCACCACATTGGATAATGTCTCCTTTAGTTTGCCTTTCTCACTTTACAACTTTCAAAACTTTGTGTACTCTAACAAGGATAACTTTTAAATATCTTCTACTGAGAACTTGACACTTTTGCCTGATTATAATTGTCTTCATAGTTCAATTTTTCTTTGATGAGCAAGTTGAAATACATGACATGCAGATAAGTCAACTGACTGAGGCCTCCTAAGTAGTTATGAAAATATATAATAATGGCCCTAGCATTAGTGATGGGAATCTAAACAGCATCGAGCAAAATATTGGGATTCCCTGTGAGAGTGCTCATTTATATCTTCAAGATAGAACATGCCAAGGTGGCAGACACTATAACAATTATTGATAGAAACATCATCTTGAAGAATCAAATCTTGAAAGATATTTGAAGTTGAACACCATTTCATAATCTTTAGCCCATCGACATGAAATTTCGCCACCAGTAGGTAATTTTCAAACTTTGTGGCTCTCAGCAGGGTCTTTTAGTGGCAGACACCTAGACTTTGAACTTAAGTATAATAATCAGATGCTCACCTTACAGAGGTTGTATTTATATTAAGATATTTTGTTAGCAGGTTCCAAGATTGAGACATTGGGATCATGCATCAATAAAATCTTCTACCAATTATAATTTTTTTCATAGTTGAGACTTCCTTTTGTGTGCAGGCTAAAAAGCAGGACATATAGATACTTTGGTAAATGGAGGCTTCCTGATGTTGCTCTAAACAACTACATCAAATGAACTAAGCATCAACGAGAAGAATGTTTACATCATCAGATTAGATTAGCCATGAACAGTGAGATTCCCTAGGAGATATTATTCTTATATTTAGAAAATAAGATAACTCCTTAGGATGTCAACCACATGTGATAATTGCTAGTAGCATTATCTTCTTCCAAAATACAATCTTGATAGGCTTCTTTTCATTGACACTCATTGAAATTGACCACTATCTGTTATACTTGAAATTGTCAGCCCAAATTATCATGAGAAAATGGTCTTTAAATTTGTCCGCATTTCTATTAGGACCTTTTAGTAGCAAGTTCTTGCAATGATATTCAAACATTATGCCCTGATGTTCACCAAACATAATTTATTTTTTTGTAGCAAACTCTTGGATTGAGATCCATTGGTTATGCCTTGATGCTCACCAGGCAGAATTTTCTATTTTGTTAACACCTTTCGGAAACAAATTCTTGGATTGAGATCCAAAGATTATGCCTCGATGCTCACTAAACATATTTTACCTTTCTATTGAGATCTTTTGATAACAAACTCTTGGATGTATGTCCGATGCTCACCAGAAAGAATTTACTGAAACTTCGAGAAATTCTATAACTAGCTAAAAAAGAAAAAGAGAAACTTTCCCCAGTGAAGACACCAAAAATCTGAGAGCTCTGAAAATTTGTATGCACATACCCCTCTAAAAAATAATGACTAACGAAAGAGTTTGTTTAAGGTTTCAGATTAAATTTTCAGAAGATGAATCAATTTATAGACAATACAAGACCCAAAGATTTCACCCTCATTTTGTGAGGACTTTTAAGACCTAGGTTTCAAGTTTTTTTTATATGCACAAGCCCTTATGATTTAGGGTTTAGGGTTTAGGGTTTGTCCTATAAACAAGGCTCGTTCGACAACGTGCACAATTTAAATTTGATTTTTGGATTTTTAGAATAAATTTCAAATCTTTGAAGTAAAAAGGTATTTTCTAATCATTTGCAAGCTTCTCAGAGTAGGAAGAAATAAATATATTATGAATTTAGCACTTTGCTGAATAATATATTTTAATATCCAAATCAATTTATGCCCGCGAAGCATTCTTGAATCGTATGATCGAACATCAAGCATCGTGATCGGAGCAACATGCAGGTTAGTGTTTTAGGCATTGGAACAACTTTTGAGATAGATGTGCACTAATCAATGCTTTTTCATGAATTTCATAAAAAAATAGCACCTTTAACTCAAAAGTGAATGCACACATTTTGTTAAGTCCAAATTCATTTGAATTTTAAGCATTTGCGCGAATACTTTATGATTGAATTATGCTCAAATAGTTCATTTAAACTTAATAATCACCATCTTTTCGCTTGTACTGGGTGTTACGAAACCGGTGGTGAACTAGGGATGAGTGAGTTTTTTGCCGACATTAATAAAATCAATGTTATCATTTTTTTAATATAATTGTCACTTATTGAGATTAGCCAATACATGAATCATTCAAGTCTTATTTTGAAGGTAGTAGGTTAATCACTTGGACTAAAAAAAATCTATTTGATTTTGCGAGCAAGCTGTCGAATTCACTACAAGTTAATTTGTGCTCTAGGGTAAGATATCGAGTCCCCCGACCGTAAGTTTTGTTTAACCTTTAAAATTTGTTTGAAATTTTTCTTTGAACTCATGTTTCATCTTAATTATTTTAATCTTACAATTCACCTTACAATCAATCTGAGTTCTTATAAATTTTGATTAATTCAACTTTTTAAAATTTTTGTTCAGGTCCAATTTTCAATCAAAATTTCGGCAACACTTTGATGTCTCCTCCCCAGTTGAAGAGGTAAGAGAAGTAACTAGCCTTTCTACCATGCCTAAAAAAGCATGTATGGAAGGTGTCAAAAGACAATTCTATTGTAGAATATTTTAACACACCACGCTAAAAGCATGCATAGGCCTTTAGGCAACTATGAAAAGCATAATAGTGTTTTCCTGCCGATGTGGAACACCCCAAACTGGTATGTATAGAATTAACCTTTAGGTACCTGCATAAGTATCCAAAACAGACTTTCCTTGCCATGGTGGAACACCCTGAACGGGTACTTAAAGCTGGATTTCCCCACCGAGATGGAAAACCACAAACGGGTACTTAAAATTACCTATTTTAAACATTAGCAAGGCCGGCAAAGTTGAGGTAAAGAACTGGCAAACCTGCAAGGCGAAATATATATATATATTCAGTTGTAGAGAGAAAACATGGAGGTAGTGAGAAGTTCGGGTAGGTTGCAGGTACTGTTGAGAGGTGGTTTGACAAGCTTTCATTTCAGCCCTTTTGGATTTTGACTAGAGGAAGATCTGGGCTCAAGTTTGCCGGAGGTGGGCGGTTGCTTAGGCGAAGAGAATAGGAGTAGAACGTAGAACAGTTGCCTAGATTTTCCTGTTAACGGGCATATCAGTGGAGTTAGGGCTTGGGATAGGAGCTGGAGAGGTATGTTCACAATTTGGGTTTCGGTGAGGAGTTGCATGGCTGCTGGCGGGTTGTGGTGTTTTTGTTTTGGTGTCCAGAGACAGTACAGGATGTTTTTCGGTTCGGAAGCTCGCGGTGAGGAGGTTTCACCGGAGGGAGATTTTCAGGCGGGAAGGGCATGAAGCAGGTGGAAGATGGGTGAAAGGTAATTTGTTTCTTGGAGGCATCGCTCACCGGAGATGGCTGCAGCAGCAACAAAGGTGGAAGATGCTAGATGAGCCACTGAGGAAAGCAGCAGCAACTGAAGAGCAAGCCTGGGACGCATGAGTAAGGCTGTTGCGTTAGAATCGCGTGATAGCAAGGTTGACAGAGAGAAAAGTAGCTGGGTGCACCTGGATTTAAGAGAAAATAGGTTGCTGAGGAGCTTGCAGCGTACAGGATTAAGGAAGAATATGGGTTTTGTTCCACCCTTTGGAAGGTGGTGTGAGAATGTTGGAGTTGGGGATCTATCCAATGGGGCCAGAGCAGTTGTAGGAGCAGCAGCAAAGGAGGGCCTTTGAATAGGGTAGGGGAGAGCGCCGTTTCAGCGAGGGCTTCAGGTTTCTGTCCATTAGATAACCCTTCGTTGATATTTTCAATATCATCGCTGAGTTATCAAAATTATATGGAGGTCAACAGCAGCAAATAGGGCAATACGGATGCCGACCTAAAATAATTTCAGCATTCTGAACACATTCTCTAGTTTTGAATGCAATCTAGGTAATTCAAACCCAAACTACAGGTCACTTTCGTCATCTATGTTTTCTTCATACTTGATTGAATCGAACACGAGCTCCCTTTCTTGACAATTTTGATCCCACAGATGCATCACACAATTCATTTTGCAAACATATGATGCTTCAGAAGTTTTCTTTGTATGTGATGCATTTCAAGTTGATCTTGCAAGATGATGCAACCACCGTCCATCACATCTAATCAATCAATTTATGTATGGAATAGTTGTCACGGTCAACACATTTATACTTATGTAACTATGTGATTTTTTTTGTGTGCATAATACGTATCTAATTCTTTATGTTTGTGTGATTTTGCACAAAAAAAACTAAGGCACATTATCAGTTATTAATATATTCAAATAAATTCATTTGATTATATATTTGGATATTGTTATCAAAACATTATGTATTATTGGGGTGCTAATATTTTTTTAAAATAATAAAAACATAAATACCAACTAATTAAACTTTAACATTCAATTTCGAAGTGAGGAAAGAATTAAACAAAAAATCCTTAAAAAAAAATCAAATACTGATTAATTTTGCTTTTTTCACTTTACCATGCTGATATTTTAAGTTCTATCAACTTGCAGACATTCAATTAAACTCATTCTAAAAAGCATATGATGCCACTTACATATTTTGACCAGAAGGACCTTTCTGGTGCTTTCAAAGCTTCTTCCACTCCAGGTTCTGAAGCAAGCAATTCCTCCGTAAATGTTGGAGTTCTGCAGGATTGCATATCAGTTTTCTGCTATAAAGATTCCCAGAATGCATAATTTCATAAGGTTTCTAAGCATTGGAAATAGCAACCTTAATAGCTGATTTTCCATTAGCAAAACAAATGAGCAACTTTTAAGAAAACAAAGACAGTAGGGCAGAAGTTGGAGGCTGACAATGAACATGGACAAACTAGATGTTTCTCAAACAGAAAGCAGAAAAAATGACATCAGAAGAGACTATTTTTACCTTCGCGCTTGCTCGCTGTTCTTCATAACCGTATGCGAGTTAAATGACCATTTTCTGGGCTGAAAAAAAGGTTAGAAGACATGTTAACAATCATTATTTTTTCCTATCCTACTCTTAATTTCAGGCTTGGTAAGAAGGCTGCACAGGTATTTGCGCAAGCATTGTGACCAGAGCTAAAGGCAGTTTTCTAAGAACACTCAACTAGTTCCTCATAAAATTGAAAATGCTTGAAGAGTAATCATTGCAGTAAAGGCGTGCAAAGTAGTATTATAATAATCATTTCGCAGAAAAATAGCAAATTTTTTTTGCATATATAATTCACCATCAGTTTAATTTAAATCTTTCCGAATGTGAGAGAGAGAGAGAGAGAGAGAGAGAGAGAGATTCTTCACGGAACAATGCTTCAATAACCCATGAGCCAATTCAGGCCACAAATAAAATAAAAACTAATATATTTCAAAGGTTATTTCGAAGATGTACAACTCAATGTAAAAAGGAATTTTTTTATTCCTTAACCACAAAAAAAAATTGAAGTAGACCGTGCCAGAAACTAGCAACTAATGTCAACCCACTTGGAGGAATTATGCAATTTGTATTAAGCATATTCTACATGTCTACTGATCAAACCTTTTTGGTGTAATTTAAAAATAAACTGGCCAAAAGTGTAACGGTAAAAAAAATTTACTGAGACTTGCAATGGAGGTAAAGTAGCAAATTAATATTTTGCTGGCACATTCACCCTTCTAAAGAAAAATCACATTGTTTTGTCGACTTGAAAAAATATAAAGCATTTTTCTACTGTCAAATCGTCTTGATGGTGTAGTTTGGAAATAGACTAGCCTAAAATGTAGATAGTAAAAAGCACAAAATCCAGACTAAAATTGAAGATGTAAAAAATAATATTTTGTAGGCGCATTTACACATTTTTTAAAAAACAAGCACTGTTTTCTCATCTTCAAGTATATAAAGGCTCGAAGATCTCTAGCTTTTTTTTTTTTTTTTTCTAGATAACATTTCCAACAACACATTAAAATGATAAAATTTCTGAGCCTCTAATTTTTCTACAATCCTAAAGTAACAAAAGCTATCATTTCATTGATGAACAGGAAATGACAATCAGATGGAAATTTAATTATAATGACTCACAAACTTCAATGGCCTCGGGTACTGACAAGAACCAGCTGAACCATAGTTCACAGCCAAAATATCCACACCATCCTGCAAGAGAGATAATATGAAAAAGTAAATATTACATCTTTCTTATTCCAAAAGGTGGATACATAGCTCAATTGGTGGGCCTAAATTAGAAAGAAACTGATGACTAAAAAAGAGTCACAACCAGCCTGAAGGAGAAAAAATAGGAATAAAATACACCCAATCAAATACAATAAAATAATCAATCAATGCAATATTTTAAATATCTTCCACATTAAGAAATTGAGAAGGGGAAAGGAGGCAACGAATTTTTTAGAACATAAACAAGGGCCTGTTGACTTCCAGTAGGAAGCAGAGCATGCAGCAGTTGCCAGGAGGATAAACAGTGAGCAGCTGTTAAGGGGAGAAGCTGGCTGCGGATGGCAGTGCTCCTATTATGGTCTGCCATCAGTTGCTGGCAATAAAAAGAACGCTAGAGTTAATTTCAGATGCTGGTTTTGGGGTGTAAAGGCTGGATCCATAGAGACGATCTTAAGATTCTCACACTCTCCCTCAAGCTAGGAATAGATGTCTATCATTCCATGTTTGAAAGCATGTTGGTCAAATTATGATTGCTTAAGAACTTAAGAATTATATCAACAATCCAAAGTTTTATTGGAATAACAGTTTTCTCCTTTATAAATAAACTATCAATTTTTGCATGTTTAGTCATAGCATGGTAGACAGGAATCTTAGCAATGCTAATAAAAGCTTAATTGTCATACCTCATTACCATAGATTTTGTAGGAAAGCTTATAAATCTTTTTAAGAATGAATTTAAGCTACATAACTTCACACGTAACATGGGCTATGACCCTTGATACGCCATTAACAAATTCTCATCATCCGGCACGAATCTCGAGACGGTTTTTTAGCAAGAAATATTCAAACCTCGATAAAAAACACATTCAGACCTCCGATTTAAGTAACTTATAGTCAAACTAACCGCCTCGATGAGACAGACTCAATGATATTAAAATTAATCCTATATGAGTCAAATCAAGCTCATATCAAGTCATTCAACCACTCTTGAAAGTTTTTCGAACATATTTAGAAGGTCAAACAAATGTCTACTCTAACAAGTTTATAGTCGAATCGAGCGTCTCGACAAGAAAAATCCAACAACCACAAAATTGCTCAATTATGATATGATTAAGATACTTAAATGTCCATCAAATGTTATCTGCTCGAAAGAAGCTCTCCGGACCGTCCGATCAAAGTGATTCATATTCCTGCATTACTTGCACCCAGAACACTATAAATACAACCACATCTCTCTCATGAGAGGGGCTGGAGGCTTGAGAGATAACTTAAGCTTTGAGGGGCAGAAGTCCAGCACCACCCCTATCAACATCTACCACCATCAATCTTCGCCGACCGCCGTCGACCACCGCCAACAGCCCTCGACACCCGCTGACCGCCTTCTACCACCACCAACTGCCATCAAGCAATATTGTCGCCTTCAACCACCACCGACTATCGTCAACCGCTGACCACTGTCAATCATCACCAATCACCGTTGAACGCCAATAACTGGAAGCCGCCAATTGACATTGTAACTTGAAAAATCTAACAATCATTTCCATTCTGTGAGAAAAAGGGTCCTGTATTCATCAATCTATAGTGAATTTTTACATTTGGGTCAGACCATGTAGTTTTTTCCTTTACGGATTATCCAAGTAAAAACTTCTGGTATCATTACGGGTTCTTTTATTTTACCTGAGTGTGTGTTGAATTCTCTTGCAATGCTAAGATGATAATCTATTACTCAACCGCCGTGAATTTTCTAGCACGCATCAACCCTAAATTTTCCTTCAATGTTGTTCAAACAACAACTTATATATTGCTTCTTCATGTAATAAAAAATTTCCCATATTGGTAAGTAATAAATCGATAGAGATTTACAACCTATTATAATAGCCTGGTTGACATCAGTAAAAGTTTCCATAGATGTTTAAGTCCGCTTTATGAAGAACAGACCTTTTCCAAGTGCCCTTTAATTATAACTTAGTATCCTATAAACAACATCAAGTGATCCTTCATGTGGTTTATTCATAAACTGACAAATAACACTAATGGGTAAGCAAATATTAGATCTACTGTAAGATAAAATAAGTTCTCCAACTAACTATTAGTACCTTGCTTTGTCAATAAAGGCAATCCTTCCATAGTGCCAACTTTGTTAAATTTATTCATTTGCGTGTTGCAGGTTTACTCCCAAGCATGCTAGTTTCCACAAGTCCAAGGCAGATTTTTTTCTTTTGTGAGGAAAATACGCCTTTGTTTGATATTGTTATTTGCATGCCTAGAAAATACTTTCGTAACTTGAGGTCCTTGATTTCAAATGATTTAGTAAAGATATTTTTCAGCATGTTTACCTCGTCTTTATGATTTTTTGTCAAGTGATATCATTACATATATGATGATGATAGAAATTTTACGAGATGATTTTTTAATAAATAAAGTTTGAGATTATCCTTGAGAATGCACATGCCTCTAACAGCCATAATAAATCAATCAAATTAAGGTTTTAATGATTACTTTAAACTACAAATACATTTCATTAATGATGTGGGACTCATTTGCGGAATGTGTGGTCACATTCGAATCGAAGACAAAAGCATACCTTCGTGTCTTCCCTCGATAACATTATTGGATCGCAAGATTCCTATAGAAATTTCCTGCCCACGTGGGAACCGGAACGGGATGTCATGCCAATAGACCTTCATGCTTGAGATTTCTACCGCCAGACCAACAGGCTTTTATATTTTATTATTTGAAGCTTAATTAGGATTTTTTTTTCCTATTTATCGATATCTAATTAGATTTCCTGTGAGAGAACTATTTATATTTGGTTATTTCCTTTATTGAGAGAATTTTGGCTATTGCTATGTTATTTGGAGATGGTTTCTCTTGGTATTCTCTATTGGGGTAATATATCTTTGGATTGGTACGCATGCATCCGACTAAGATCAAAGTGGTGAACTCTCACGTTCGAAGGCCTCCTTCGTCATCCAATTTGTTGCATATTATTGTTTGACATTAGAAAACAACAATTCTATGCTTCCGACTCACCGTTATCTCGTTGATCACGCTGGATTTCAGATGACATCCGCCCTCTTGCTTTTCATATCTATTCAACAACTTATCTGCCCCTTTCTTTTATCCTTTCATACATTCTAAGAATTCTAATACAGCATCATCTAGTATTAGAGCCAAACAAACCCTAAATTTCTTAGGATTAACTTTTTTTTTTTTTTTGTCAAAAACCAAAATTCAAAAAAAAATAAAAATAAAAATAAAAAATCCCAATCTACCGAAATAATTCCTATCGCAATTTCTAGCCCCAATCCTAAACTTTCAAAATTCAATCACTATACCTGCACCAAAAATCCGCCCCGACACCTACCACTAATCATGATCTGCAACCCTGCACCAGCCGAAAACTTGATCGGGACAAAGTGACGTCATGCTGCCAAGGAGAAACCCTCAGCAATGTGTTCAGGAACTTACTGTGAAGGACAAACAACAGGAAATCCTCAAATTGTAACAGATGCTTGCGGTCTTTAAGAGTAGACAATCTGATGAGATTACCTATGGCCACAACGGTGACTCGTCTGATAAAAAAAAAGTTAATGAATCTCTTTCACGGGTTAGTTTACAGTGAAGAACCATTACCTCAACAATTTGGCATAGCATATCAAAGGAGAAGTTATGATTTTGGAGTGAAGATTGACTAGCTAGATTTTTATGATAGCATGGATTCAAATGAATTCTTCGAGAGACTACAAGCAATGGAACGTGTATTTGAATAAGGATATTACACCATGCAGAATGGTGAAGTTAGCCACCACTAAGTTGAAGAACTGTGCATCTTTGTGGTGGAAAAATCTGAAAAGCCTATGCTAATGAGAAAAAATAAAATCACAACCTAGTCCAAGATGAATAAAAGCATACTCACTTTACCAATTACAACAACAAGATCTTTCGATAGAGGAGTACAAATTGAGTTCGAATAGCTTATGTTAAAGTGTGAGCTAGTGTAGCCCGAGAAGAACACCATAGTTCGATATCTATTGAGGATTAAGACTGTTTGACAATGTGGTATGGTTGCAGTCATATTGAACATTGAAAAATGTTCATACCCTAGATCCAAAAAATGGAAAGACAATACCATAGTATCGGATCCACACAACCTTTGAAAAACAATTCAACCCCAGGATCAACCAATAGGAGTACGAACAGTGGAGCATCCCGGTCTACCCAACTAAAGAAAAAAATCAGTATAGAGTGGAGACAAAGTGGAGACCTCTAGCACTCCAAAATTTGTCATAATCAAAAAGTGTATCAAGCATCATGATTTTAAGCACATTGCATCTAATTGCCCAAATAGAAGAGTGATATTGACGTGGGGGCGCAGGAGCGCTTATGCCAGACCCCCACCCCCATGGCCACGCCTGCGAAAGCATGGCAAATGTAGTACGACTGGCTCGGTTCAAAGAAGAGGGGGACCAGATAGTTCCCTCTTATTTGGAAAGGGGCCCACTCCTCATTACCCTAAAGACTAAATATGTCATTTGTTGTGTGTAGGTTAATTTTTTATTTTAGATTTATGCCATCAGCATCTTTCCCTTGCTAGGGATGAATCTGAGGTCAGGTAAAGCATCGGTTGTATCCTGCGCAAAGGTGGTGATTATCTCCTTATATTCTTCCCTTTCGCGCTTTCCTTTGCTTGTTCCACATACCCTCCAGCAGTCGTTGCTTGTTGTTGTACCCTCCCCCAATCCCCTATTTACTGTCCAGTCATCCCAATCCAATTCTGACTTGTTGTCGCGCCCTCCACGACCACCAGTTTGTTGCCCAACCACCATATCACCTTCCCCTTGCTGCCGTTAAGCCTCTCTACCACCTCCTACTCTCCATTTCCACTACCCCGACACACAGCCCGCCGCCGTCAATCCTCGCCCTAGTGGGTCTTTTTGGGTCTATGTCATTTTCTTATTTCAAGTGTCTTTGTTTGTAAT